CGCATTCCCTCCGCTAAGGATCCATTTCCTCGGCAGTGGCGCCGCGGCTCGGCAATGAATCATCGAGCCAAAATAAACCGATCGCAATATAAATTATGCCCCACTACCCCTTTCCTTATTTCAGTGCTCGTCCCCCAGGACGGTACTGCTGGTCTCGGTCCCTGCGCTTCCCGCCCGGTTGGCCGCTATCAAAAAGGCCCCTTCCTCGGAGTAGCACTTGTTGTTTACAAGTAACGTGCAATGCCGCACACCACAATCCGAGGAAGGGAATACAAGACGGGTCCTTTATACAAAAAAAAACAAAAAACAAAAAAAAAAACTGAGCCTATGCACCTATGACACCTTATCAATTGAACATCTGTTGTACAGGGAAAATTGAAATGTTCGCAAGTGCAAAAAATCATCTGCATATATTACTGAAAACTCAACAGGTTTTCGCAAAAAATATTATTAAATCTTGGAACTATGTAGTTCAAAACAACATCTACAGTACAGTACCAGACACTACTCAAAGGCGAATGAGTTTCTTTGCAAATAAATCGCGAATATGAAAAAAGGGAGGAAAGCCGAGAGGGAAACACGCAGTACAGTAAAAGTAGTGCTGCACTGATTACGTGACCGGCGCAGGTCAATTAATAAATCCACTCAAGGGCGACAGAAGGGGGGAGAGGAAGGGGAGGGGGTCGATAGACTGACCTGCACGGGGTCAGCAGGTAAACCGAGGAGGAAAGGAGGCGGGGGGGGGGGGAGCTGATCCTGATTTACGCGCCATTTAAGGAGCACAGTGGAGAGAAAGCGTCCGTCGTAGCGCGACTAATTGTTACACGGGCGTCACGATGCACACTCTCATTTCCTTACGCACTCGCTTCCGGAGGATTCCGTGCATGCGTAATACGGATCAGAAATCATCCGCAATACGGATGAAATCGTCCGTATGATGCAATTTGGATGATTAAGATACTTTTATTTCTAAGCTACGGTGAAATAACATATTTTTGCCTATACCTGATGGTTGAAGCCATGTTTGAGTTTGTAAGACACGGATCAAATTCCATACTACAGAGGATTTCATCCGTTACAAAGTTAAAAATATTTTGTGATTTCCCAACACTTTCACGATACGGAGCAACTGCGAAATCACACTTCTCTATAGTAAAAAATAGTGCATTTTGCTATCTTACTTGGAAGTAGTCGTGAACAAAATCGTAATAATTTCTGAAGTTACCAATTTTTGACAACAAAGAGGAGTTGTGATTTCACATAGAGTTCTGGCAACTTTTTTCACAACGAATTCTTCGTGACGTTCTAACTTTTTTTAACAGTGTACGGGGGATTTATGATCCGTATTACACTTGAACCAAATTCTCAGTAAGCGAGTCTGTTAGGAAATGAGAGTGTGTGAGTGAGTGTGTAAGAGTGTGTGTGTAAGTCTGTGCGTTGCGTATGTAACAACACACACTTTGCGACGAATACGTTCTGTTTCACAAAAGAGTAACTTTCATTTCAGTTCCCACATGCAAGCGCAAAACCCACACTAAGTCACACCACACAAAGTATAAATGAACATAAACATCACCTTTCCTAAATTTCTAGTAAACTTGGGCGCGCGCGACACACACGCGCACACAAACACACACGCACACACACGCACACACGCACACACACACACACACACAAAAAGAGGAAATAAGGGGTAGCGTTCGCGCCCTCGGTAAGAGGCAAACACCTTCGCGTCCACTTCGGGACTCTTCCCCGGTGCGAAAATGAGACGGGCGCGGCGGCGCTGGAGAGGAGGGTGAAGAAGAGGCAGCAGGTTGGCCGGGGCGCAAGGGTCGACGTTAGGGGGAAAGGGGTGGAGGGTCGGGAGGCGGGGAGGTCGTTGGAGCACTAAGCTTACTCAGTGGCCAGTGGCGCGGCCGGTGCGCGCGGGGCGGGGGACAGGGGCGCGGCGCGCAGCGGGCGGCCTGGACGTGTGCACCCTGGAGCTACAGCCGGCGGACTGCGGCCCCAGCTCTAGCCCCGGCGCGCCAGGCAACCACACCGACGGCCCGCCACGCCCCGCCACGCGCCCCCGTCACGCCGCCACGGACGCCACGACGTGCCCACAAGAGCACTACGGCTTGGACATATTTCAGATATAGTGGCGGTGATTAGCACCTTATCTCTAACCACCGCCGCAAACGCGTTGTTCACTCGTTTACCTTTAGCCTTCTTCTTTGCCCCCCAGCTATCGCGATGAACGCCTCTTTGTCTCGTGTTACGAATGCATGTTCTGTAAAGCCACATTTTTTACGGTAAAAACAATATCTCATTTTTAAGGGAAAAGGGAAAACTTTGAGGAACTTCCCTGGTTTGTCGAAAAGGATCTCCTTCATTTTTTGAGAAGATTCCTCAAAATATGAGGCGAGATTGGACGACTCTTCCTCACACATGGGAGTTCTCAAAAAATTAGACATTGTTTTTACCGTGTTTCTACTAAAACCTTGTGCAGCAAGAAAACGAGTGTTTTCGATTTTCTGCCGGTGACTTGTCTGACTTATTGCGTTTAGTGTTGTTTATGAGATTCCTGCTTACTGTGACCACGATGATGAAAGACAGCCATCGATGCCGCAATGTCCAGAACCATTTCAACGAGGTGCCAAATGACTTACCTGCAAAAAGAGAACGAAAACAAAATCATTAGCAGAATTCGTCAGAGTTGGTCTCACTGCTGTGCAGCCGTGGGAAACTTCCGCGCACAGTGTTGGTTGGTCGTGATAATTCTCTACCGAAAACAAACAGAATGTTAATGTGATAACATGTTTCCGGACGAGAGGGCGGAAGGAATTATTATATGACTCGTCGCTTTTAAAGTCCTCCCGAGCTCAAAACAAGACGTGGAGTAGCAGGGCGTGGCGGGGCGGGGCGGGGGGTGCAGCCTACAAGGTGAGCCCAACAACAGCTGCGGTGGCTCTGCCGGACGCGGATGGGCTTGTTTGCCCGAAGAGCCGACCTCCTGGAGATTGCTCTGGGAGGCGCGCCGGCCCCGCCGCACTCCCCTCCTCCCTGCAGGCCGGCGCGCCGCGCCCGCGCGCCCTCTCATCCTCCGGCTCCGGCCGTCACCTCCTCTTTGACAAGCCCGCCTTGCCACTCCTCCCGTATACATTGCGCACCAGGCCTCACGCCATGCCCC